AATTACAAAAAAAAGTTATCTCGCTACCACCGCACGCACCTGCCTTTCCTCTGGCACCTGTGGCAAAGGTGTGCACAGGGGAGGGTGGGGGGGGAGGTGGCCGTCTCGTCACCGCTGTCAGCAACTGTTATCATCATTATTCGTATTATTTTTTGGGGAAAGCTCCTGTTAAGGCCTTACAGTGCCCAGCCTCAAAACTGTCGAACTCGCACAGATCCTAACTCATTTTCAGAGATGGGGTTTGGTTGGGGAGGGGTGGGTCACTTTTGTCGACGAGAACATCATCGGTGTGAGTTTTGAAACCATTGTTGGGGATTGACGGCAGTACTACGATGACGATGATGGGGTGGGGTGGGGGGGGGACCGCACGTCAGGGGCCACACTCAAGGCCACCAGGGAGCCCAACAGTGGCCCTCGCGAGGCCATGTGGTGAAACCCACAGCTACTTGAGAGTGGAGGCAGCGGTGGCTACTCTGCTCGTGGCCTGTAATCCGGCGAGGGTTGTTGGATTACCGCAACAGATGTTCCGTGACTCCATTTTCACCCGTTGGGCAGGCGTCGAGAAGGAGTTGTGCCCGTACCCATTGGCTGGGCAGGAGAATGCGGTACAACAGAGTGTGGACTAATATCCATCTGTTCCACACTTCCTATGGGTGTCAAGGAGGCGCCGTACCCATTGGCTGTGCAGGAGAAGGTGGTACAACAGAGTGTGGACTAATATCCATCTGTTCCACACTTCCTATGGGTGTCAAGGAGGCGCCGTACCCATTGGCTGGGCAGGAGAAGGCGGTACAGCAGAGTGTGGACTAGTATCCATCTGTTCCACACTCCCTATGGGTGTCAAGGAGGCGCCGTTCCCATTGGCTGGGCAGGAGAAGGTGGTACAACAGAGTGTGGACTAATATCCATCTGTTCCACACTTCCTATGGGTGTCAAGGAGGCGCCGTACCCATTGGCTGTGCAGGAGAAGGTGGTACAACAGAGTGTGGACTAATATCCATCTGTTCCACACTTCCTATGGGTGTCAAGGAGGCGCCGTACCCATTGGCTGGGCAGGAGAAGGCGGTACAGCAGAGTGTGGACTAGTATCCATCTGTTCCACACTCCCTATGGGTGTCAAGGAGGCGCCGTTCCCATTGGCTGGGCAGGAGAAAGCGGTACAGCAGAGTGTGGATTTACACCTTCATCCCATTATCGCGTGAACCTCATCCCGTGAGCGCATTGCCCCTCAACAAATAACGTCTCCGCATTGGTTTCCAGGGCAATGTCGGTCCCGTTTTAAAGTGTTGCTGCTGACAGGCGAGCGAGGCGTCTAAATGGCCTCGCGCGGCTTTACATTCAACAGCTGATGCACCGTCCGCGCGCGCGCACCGTCACGACCCCTGCCGTCTGCTGATCCGCATCCCCGTCCCACGTGTCGAGAACTCTGTTACCTGGGGTGACCGAGGGTGAGTGAGTGAGTGGGTAAGTGGGTGAGTGAGTGTGTGAGTGAGTGGGTGCTTGAGTGAGTGGGTGAGTGAGTGAGTGGGTGCTTGAGTGAGTGGGTAAGTGAGTGTGTGAGTGGGTGAGTGAGTGGGTGAGTGAGTGAGTGGGTGAGTGAATGAGTGGGTGAGTGAGTGAGTGGGTGAGTGAGTGAGTGGGTGAGTGAATGAGTGGGTGGGTGAGTGAGTGGGTGAGTGAATGAGTGGGTGCTTGAGTGAGTGGGTGAATGAGTGAGTGAGCGGGTGAGTGAGTGACTGCGCCTGGGGTGACCGAGCCGCTGAACGTGGTGAGCCAAGACTATCTAAAGCCCTGCTGCTGCTGCTGCCACTGGTGGCTAGACAGGCGAGTTCACTCATCGGGCTTTAGGCTCTTCGCTAAAGACTCAGCCTGTTTCCCCTGCACCATTGAGTGGGTGAATGAGTAGGTGACCGAGTGAATTGGTGGATCGGTGAGTAAGTGAGTGGATGAGTGGGTGGGGGAATTAGTGGGTGACCGAGTGGATGAGTGAGTGGATGAAAATGTGAGTGAGTGGATGAGTGGGTGGGTGAGTGGGTGAGTGAGTGAGTGAGTGAGTGAATGAGTGGGTGACCGAGTGGGTGAGTGAGTGAGTGAGTGGGTGAATGAGTAAGTGGGTGGATCGGCGAGTGAGTGGATGAGTGGGTGGGGGAATTAGTGGGTGACCGAGTGGGTGAGTGAGTGGATGAAAATGTGAGTGAGTGGATGAGTGGGTGGGTGAATGAGTGGGTGAGTGAGTGAGTGAATGAGTGGGTGACCGAGTGAGTGAGTGAATGAGTAAGTGGGTGGATCGGCGAGTGAGTGGATGAGTGGGTGGGGGAATTAGTGGGTGACCGAGTGGGTTGAGTGAGTGGATGAAAATGTGAGTGAGTGGATGAGTGGGTGGGTGAATGAGTGGGTGAGTGAGTGAGTGAATGAGTGGGTGACTGAGTGAGTGAGTGAATGAGTAAGTGGGTGGATCGGCGAGTGAGTGAGTGGATGAGTGGGTGAGTGAGTGAGTGAGTGGATGAGTGGCGCGAGCAAGGAATTGTGGGGTTGCCACCTTTAACAATTACTTCGACACACACACTATTTATATAAAACCAATCTACAATCACGAGGCAGACATTCTTTAACCGCGCACGGGCGGTTAATTGGGACCCGAGGCAGATAATCTGACAACGAAGTTCTGCTGGACGATGTGTGCGTGGGGAGCGGTGGCGCAGCGGCTAACGCTATGAAAGCCAGCGACGCGAGTTCGATTCCTGCTCGGCAACCACCGGTGACGATTATCCGAACCGGTTCTGGGCCTCCCTTAGGTCGACTCGGCCTCAAATAAGAACCTGGTGCGGTGTGTGGTAAGCATCGCCACTGGGGAGACAAAGGCGGCCGGTCTCTGTGTGAGTCTATTGGTCTCTATGTGTATTTGTTGTTATCTGAATCAGTCTTGGGCCTCCCCTAGGTCGACTCAGCCTCAGATTAGGCGACCGGCCTTTGTACTCGCACACGAAGGGGTGCCTCTTCCGGCCTGCATAGGTGCTGCTCGCTAACAGCACTTGCCCCAACAGTCCGTGAAGGCTGTACGGGGGATCTTTGTCTTTGCGGGGGGTATCACAGCTGATGAGTGTCTTCTGCACGAAGCACTTGGCGGTCGTGTTGGGGAGGTGGGGGAGGGGCGGGTGTGGAGATTCAGGCCATAGACTCGGGGCCGTTTCACCCGAGGCCGACCGTTCGACCGGGTCATCTTTGTCCGAGCTACGGGGGCCAGAACAAGGACTCCCTCGAGAGGGGTCAGGGTCGCTTCTGCAAAAAAATTTTAGCGACGCCGCTGCACAGTGGGGCCTTGCAGCTGCTAAAATTAACTACTCAGCAGTTACATTTTCAATTTAAAGCTTTCGTGACTGCGGTGATTCATCTTCTTGGTTCTTTCGGTAATCCTGCATAATGCACGGGCATAATATGACTTTGAAACCCCCGCTCACCTCCTACGCATTTCACAAGTAGTGACTAATCTCATATCTGCATTTCCCATAAATATGCTAAATTCCTCTTGATATGCATATTATTTTGTCAAGGCGCTCTTCCCCCTCCAACCTAGCTTAACTAGACGCTCCAAGCCTGGGGTGTTTCATGCAGACGCTGTCTTCCCGACAGACCTGTTCTTCACCTGAGGACGGCTGCTTGCGTTGTGGCCGAAACGTCATGAGAATTATTTTATTATGTTTTATTTTTATTATTTTATTATTTCCCTTCTACGTGACTTTACCGAAAGAACCAAGAAGATGAACTCAGCAGTTTACTTGAGAATCAATAACCCCGGGCACGGGCACGACCCATCATCTCTCCAGAGCTCGCAAACTCCCTGCGCCCGAGCCGGCACGACGGAGCCGAGTCGATCCCGGGTCACCTTCGGAGACCGAGCGGGGATGGGAAGGCATCGACAGCAACGGACGAGTCCTCTCTCCGCTCCGCAGGTGGAGGAGGGTGACGGAACGTCGAACTCCCTTCTCGCACCTGACGGAACCAACCTCGTCTGGGGGGCGCGGATCGCCGTGTCGAGAGGAAGGCGGCGAAACGTCGGGCAATCGATGGGGCGCCGGGAGCGTGTGAGCAGCGAGCAAGGCGGGCCCGATGGTGGGACTGCTGCCACTGCTGCCACTGCTGTCACCTCTGCTGCCACTGCTGCTGCCACTGCTGCTGCTGCCACTGCTGCTGCCACTGCTGTCACCTCTGCTGCCACTGCTGCTGCCACTGCTGCTGCTGCCACTGCTGCTGCCACTGCTGCTGCTGTCACCACTGCTGCCACCACTACTGCCACTGCTGCTGCCACTGCCGCCGTTTTCGCTGCTGCCACTGCTGCTTCTGCTGCTACTGCTGCCACCACAACTACCGCTGTTGCCACCACCACTGCCACTTCTGCCACCACCACTACCGCTGATGCCACCACCACTACCGCTGCTGCCACCACCACTACCGCTGGTGCCACCACCACTACCGCTGGTGCCACCACCACTGCCACTGATGCCACCACCACTACCGCTGATGCCACCACCACTACCGCTGATGCCACCACCACTACCGCTGGTGCCACCACCACTACCGCTGGTGCCACCACCACTGCCACTGATGCCACCACCACTACCGCTGATGCCACCACCACTACCGCTGATGCCACCACCACTACCGCTGATGCCACCACCACTACCACTGGTGCCACCACCACTACCACTGGTGCCACCACCACTACCGCTGATGCCACCACCACTACCACTGGTGCCACCACCACTACCGCTGATGCCACCACCACTACCGCTGATGCCACCACCACTACCGCTCTTGCCACCACCACTGCCACTGCTGCCACCACCACCATTGCCGCTGGTGCCAAGCGTGCGCCGCTGTGCTGGGGGTGACCGTGCCAGCGAACCGTCCCCGAATTCCGAGTTGCGTGCCGCGCGGGAACGCTGCGGCCAAAGTCGGCTCGCCAAACATCCCTCCCCTCCCTCTTTCCCTCCCCCTCCCCCGCCTTCACGGGGGGGATCGCATCGCGGCTTGCCGATACTCGTGGCGACGGTTCGCGGCCGTGGGCCGTGGCAGGCAGCCGCACTGGTAGGCCCCGTGATGAGGCCACGGGGGGAGGGGGGGCTCGGCTAGCAGCTCTGCCCCCGGGGAAGACCGCGTGGGCTCAACACCCCCCACCCCCCCCCCCTTCCTTGATCGATGGCGTGCCCGGTTTGGTGTCGGGCGGGTCCTAAGATCTCGACGCCGCACATAGACACTCAAGTGGCTGCTCGTAGTTGTTTTAGCTTCGCAGGATGCATCGTGGCCCTGAACGTACCCCCCCCCCCCTCCTCGTTCCAGGCAGGCAGTGACAATGCGTAGCCCCTTCGTGGCTAAAGCGTTGAACAGCAGCACCGCAAGACGTTTCAACATTCTCGGGCAAACGTCTTTTTTTCTTCTTTCACTTCTTCTCTTGTAGCAGGAAGCATCAACTTCACTCGCTCGATTCCTCCACCCACTTTGAGTGAGGACATCACGAACACCACCACGAACACCACCACTACCACCACCAACCACCACACTGCTGGTCACAACACTGAATCACCCTGTGGCAGGGACTCGATCCACCACAATCGCCTGCGCTGCTCAAGCGCTGCAATCCACCCCTCCCATCGTCACATCTTCATGCAAACTCCGGTTATATTTGCATCATCAGCAGCATCATCATCAGCATCATCATCATCAGCAGCATCATCAGCAGCAGCAGCGACAGCTTTTGGCTCGGCCATCGAACAAAGACGGCCTCACCGCATCGCGCGGCGCTTTCAGACGCGCTTCCTGCGGCCGTCTGGAACGCTCTCTTTCTTCTGAGTTTAGGAAGCCGCTGGGTGCCTATGCACTTTTGAATCATCAAGGTTGAAAACTCATTTCTCTAGAACTGCTTGCTGTGTTTAGTTGTACTTCCACCCGCACCTCCGATTTGCACGGTTGGCTACGTACGGCGCGAAAGAAGTTCAACGTACATTTTGCCCCCACCGCCGTCGCCGCCACCCACCCCCACCCCACCCACAATTTCGATAAATCGTGACTCGATTCAAGACGCTCCCTTGGCAGCCACCGCGGGCCTCTGTGGTGGGGAGGGGGGGGGCGGTACAGTGATTACGTCGGCAGAGAGGTCTCGTCGTAACGTGCCAGCTTGTGGCGGTGTTGTTATCACAATATTTTTTTGTGCAGAGCATTTCCTCGCAAAAGCGAACGCGTTTTGGCAAACATATCGGCGCCGTTTTTTTTTCTCCCATTTTTTTTATAGTCCAGCCGACCAAGCCGCACGCCGGTGGGCACGAGCCAGCCATGTTTGGCGCAATTTGTGTGGGTGTCTGCGGAAAAAAATAAAATGTGAAAAGAGAAAAAGTAGCGCCCTCCAGCCCGACTTGGAAGAGGTTGCCGATGGCACGGATTCATCTGGCGCGCTCAAATAACCGTCCACATGAAACGCGACAACTGCAGCAAACAGAAGAAACACCAACAGAAAAAAAACTTCCCCTCTGGAAGAACTTCAACAACAACAACAACAAAAAAAAAGTTGTCAGCCCGTTTCGTTCCTGCACAGGGCACGGGTTCTTGAATCCTGAGCGAAGAGACGCCGTTTCAAGGGGTCGGATTCTACCGCGAGCCAAACTCCTGGGGATTTTCTAGTGGCCTTGTTGGTCCGGCCACGTGTGGAGGCATCGTCGCGGACAAACGCGCCGCGTGACTTTCGCGGTAGGCGCCTCGAGCGCCGATAAAATCCCCAACTTGGCCGTGGCCAGCACACGAGGAAGGGAACTTTAAACCGGCCCCGGTGGCGAGGAGTGAATTTTCTCGCACACCGCTATGGGTGGCGTTACTATCGAGGGAGGGTGTCGTCATCGCCGTATAAACCGTGATTATAAGACACTCCGGGGGAAGGTGTTGTCGCAACCTCAAACGTTGGTGGGGTCATTTCGTCGGGTGAATACGGTGCGATGGAAAGCCTTCACCGTCGATGATTACGAACGGGCTGCTTTCGACCAGGCGGGGGCAGGGAGAGGTGGGGTAGCGATGTCCTCGAGAAGATTTTGAACAATTGAATGGAAACAAATAAATTTAGATTTAAAGCTTTCGTGACTGCAGGGATTCATATTCTTGGTTCTTTCGGTAACGTCACGTAGAAGGGAAATAATAAAATAATATAAATATTAAACAATACGTAATTCTCACGACGTTTCGACTGCAACACAAGCAATCATCATCAGGTGTGAAATTGCTGTCCGTGGTGCTGACGTTAGGAAAAACCGCCACTTTTTAAATCCTTTATATTAAGTTCGCTTGCTTGCTTGCTTGATTACGACCGTGCAAATCTTTCGGTCGTTTTTTAACCCACTTCGCGTGATCCAATCGAGCTGATATTTTTCGTTGTGCGAGACAATTAATGTTCGTGAATTTTTTTTCTCCAAAATTTTACACTGTTTAGGGAAAACAAATTAAATATTTAATTACCAATTGCTTAATGGTGGCAGACAATCATCTGACGCATAGGTGGCAGCCATCTCAAGCCAGAGGACGAGAGGACTCTAGCCGCCACGCATATAAAGGATTTAGAGTGAAAAACTTTGTTTTTACGGGTTTACTTGTTTCAAATGTTCTTGCTGTGGATTTCACACCTGATGACGATTGCTTGTGTTGCAGTCGAAACGTCGTGAGAATTTTGTATTGTTTAATATTTATATTATTTTATTATTTCCCTTCTACGTGACTTTACCGAAAGAACCAAGAAGATGAATCCCTGCAGTCACGAAAGCTTTAAATCGAAATTTAATTATATTTTATTATGTTTTATTTTTATTATTATTTTATTATTTCCCTTCTACGTGACTTTACCGAAAGAACCAAGAAGATAAAAACAAATAGTCGAGATGCACGCCCGACTATTTGTTTTAAAATACAGGGTGGGGGGGTGGGGGGGAGGGCGGTAGGGGGAGAAAAGCAAAACTTAAACTCCTGGGCATCTTATAATTCGGAAAACACGCGGTAAAAATGCTGTCCGTGGATCGGTTGGGTGGGTGGCGTTGGTGTCTCGATTACACTGGTCAACAAAAAAATTACATTTTTTTCTGGCCTGGACTTTTGCAGCTGTTTTAGACTAATTTCAGGGTGCCGATTCCAAATCTGATCTCAGATTTGCTCTATCACATCTCATTTTATGCTATCGGCATACCCCATTTTCATTGATTTTACCCAAAATGAACTCCGTCACTTATGATTGCAAGTTGTTGCGAGTCAGTGACTGCTTTAGTGTTAAATGATGGTGCTGTATTTTTAGGATAGTGTGTTTATAACATCATTTTATGTAGATATCAACATTTATTTAATATTTTTCTTCTGCAGTTTTTATTGAAAATGCAATATTTAATATCTCAAAAACCTGATGTGATAGACAAAAACTGATGCCAGATTTAGAATCAGCACCCCAAAATTACCTTATGAACCGTTGGAATACCTTATGCCAGAAAAATGTGTTGACCACTGCAATCTGAGCGACGTGACGTTTACGCCGCTAATTCGCGTTTGCTTACTTGCGTTGGGATTTTTTTCCCAGCCATCTCATCTATGGCTCCTTGTGTTGCTGTTGTTGTGTTTCGTTTGTTTTGTCGTCAGCACCTCCGCTGAGCGGATCACATCCCGCGCGTGACGCCGCGCGAGACGGCGCTCCTCCCACGATGCCACATTTGCCGTCGAGACGTCTAACACCCCGGCGATGATGTGACGACAAGACGTAGGGGGGTAGAGGGGCGCGTGGCAAGGGTTACTCTCTTCTAAGGATGCTTGAGCACTGGCAAAACTCGTACCCGTGCCTTCAAGGGCACGAGGAGACCCGCAAGGCCATGCGGGCAGGCAGCACAGCTCAGCGCCAGCCATCGTAGAGTGGCGAGGCGGTCGCGTCGCTTACGGTTCTGGGAGGTGAGAAACGACGTCTTTGAAACGCAACTGCTACTGCTGCTTGCTGCTGCTACTGCTTGCTGCTACTTGCTGCTGCTGCTTGCTGCTGCTACTGCTGCTGCTGCTTGCTGCTGCTGCTACTGCTGTTTGCTGCTACTGCTGCTGCTGCTACTGCTTACTGCTGCTACTGCTTACTGCTGCTGCTGCTTGCTGCTGCTACTGCTTACTGCTGCTGCTGCTTGCTGCTGCTGTTTGCAGCTGCTACTGCTTGCTGCTGCTGCTACTGCTGCTGCTGCTTGCTGCTGCTGCTGCTGCTTGCTGCTGCTGCTGCTACTGCTGCTTGCTGCTGCTGCTTGCTGCTGCTACTGCTGCTGCTACTACTACTGCTGCTGCTGCTTGCTGCTGCTGCTGCTACTGCTACTGCTTGCTACTGCTGCTTGCTGCTGCTGCTACTGCTGCTGCTGCTTGCTGCTACTGCTACTGCTGCTGCTGCTTGCTGCTGCTGCTACTGCTGCTTGCTGCTGCTACTGCTGCTACTGCTGCTTGCTTCTGCTGCTGCCTGCTGCTGCTACTGCTTGCTGCTGCTGCTGCTTGCTGCTGCTGTTTGCAGCTGCTGCTACGCCTCTCTAAATAAAAAAAAGAAAGTCCGACCGGGCGAGATTTCGGCGCCGGACGGCTGCTGCGCACGGCCTGCCAAGCTGCGTACGTCATCGGAACGGGACGAGAGGTTAACATTGCCTGTGTCGTCGTGCTCCCCCACCCCCTCCATCCCCCCACCCCACCCCTCCTGAGTTTTTATTTACCCACCTCCCCCAGGCCCCAAGGTCACGCTACAGGTCCACGCTGCGTGCGGTTAAGGGTGGTGCGAACAGACCGGACTTTGGATTTTTTTTTGTTTCACGGGAGCGGGGAAGGCAGAGGTCGGTCATACGCCACCGTCCTTAGCCGCTCTGGAAGACGTCGTTTCGCACCCACCCCCAGCGCCAGAGTCGTCGAGAGCCGCGGACTCGTCCGTTGTACGTCGATGTGAGAGGTGCCTAGTCAGGAGTCAGGACGTCCTCTCGTGTCTCTCTTCTAACTTGACCGTTTTGCGGAAGATCGCACGGACAGGCAACCAACGTACTTCGGCAAATTGGCGCAAGCCGCGCCGTGATTTTGTGTGTGTGGGTTTAGTTTTTTTTCTTCACATGATCCTCCCCCACCCCCCCCCCCCATTACGCCCACACTCAGCCGCGGCCAGGGCATACAGAGTGGCCAAAGAAGGCGTGTTATTTTAAGCACAATTATATATGTACGTGTATTTTTGTTTTCTTAACATCCCAAACAACGGCTTCGATTTAGTGAACATTGTGAAGAAAAACAAGAAGCTCCGAGGGTCATCGAATTCCACCCGTCTCAATAAGGACACTCTGCTTGCTGAAAGGTTCTGATTCTGAATAAATGCCTCTGCGGGAGACGGATCGAGAAGAAATCTGAAACCTCTTTCCACCCCACCAAATCGGCCGGCATTTTCATCGCGCCCATGCTACCTGTTTGTAAAGAACAGCCAAATCGAAACGCCCGAAAAAAACTCAAAAAAATACGAAATTTGAATTTTCGTTTCGTCGTCGTCGGAGTTCCACGCCCGGCGTCCACTTCGCAGCAGTAGCAGCAGCAGCAGACGAGACCGCTTCGAAAACAAAAGATAATATATATAAACTCCCCCCCCTCCCTCCCTGCCCTCCCCACCTCCAGCACCCCGTGCCACCCATCCCGCAAAAGAAATAGCAGTCGAAGGGAAGGTTCGGGAGATTCCAGGGGCACCAAGGGAGCTCGTTACAATCCGCCGAGCGAGCCGCCGTTTGGTGGCGGGCCACGTGACCCGTTCGGGGCTGACCCGTGACCTCCGCTTCAACAAATTAAAACAACAACAACAGCAATGTACAAAATTCAACAAACACCCCCCCCCCTCTTGCCCCGCCTCCCCCCCCCAAAAAAACCCCACCAAAACTAACCACCTCTTTTAAAACTTCTTTGTATACCAGCTAACATCGTCATCGTCGTGTCGACCGGCGCCGGGCGACAAAAATTTCGCGGCGTGGGGGGAGAAAATAACCACCGCGACCCCCCCCCCCCTCCACCAATCCCCCCACGCCGGCCCCCCACTCGCACCCCCCCCCCCCAAACCCACCACCACCACCTCATTCCCATCTCTCAGTCTCGGCGGTGGCGTCTTTCGTTTTTTTTTTCCCCCGTTTTTTTTTTCTCACCTCCCTCCTCCTCCTCTTCCCTCATCCTCCTCATTCTCTCTCATGAGCACCCGCATCGCTCCACCACCATGTCGGGGATCTTGCCGAAGATGATCTGCTGCTGGTCGTTGAAGTAGAGCATAGAGATGGCCGACATCTTGGTGGGTGCACAGCATGGACCCGCGGAGCCACGCGGGTTCGCCTTCTGCACGAGGTGCGTGTGCGGGTACTTCTGCAGGAACATGTTCTCGCACTGGCCCGAGCAGTAGTTCGCCTTGTAGCGCTTGGGCGCGATGATCCAGTCCCAGCCGAACGCCTCGAAGTCGACGATGAGCTGGTAGCGGCAGCAGCGCGACTCGTTGGACGCCTCGCTGCAGTCGAGGCCCGGGGCACGGCGCGAGCGACGGAGAGTGTCGCTCAGCTTCAGCTCCAGGAAGGGTTTCTGTGGCCGGCGGGGAAAGTCGGCGGCGGGCACGCGCACGGACGGGTGGACGTGACGCACACGCGACCAGATGGACGGACACGTGGATGCACAGGTGGACGCACAGGTGGACGCACAGGTAGACGTGACGCACACGAGACGAGATGGATGGACACGTAAATGCGCAGGTGGACGCACAGGTAGACGTGACGCACACGAGACGAGATGGACGGACACGTGGACGCACAGGTGGACGGGTGGACGTGACGCGCACGCGACCAGACGCACACGTGGGTGAACGGACGAACGCACGGACGGACGTGGCGGTAGTTGAGGTAATGGATGGATGGCCTCACACACACACACAGACAGACACACACACACACAGACACACACACAGACAGACGGACACACAGATAAACGAACACGCAGGCAGATAGACGCACGGATAGACACGAAGAAACGTGGATGGATGGACACACACACAGACACGTTGTAAAACGGACACGCGGACAGGGACAGACGCACGCACAGACGTGGTGATTGGTTAAGCGCATGTACGGACGAACACACGGACGGATGGACGCACGCGGGCAGACACACGTGGAAGAAGGGACACGTGGACAGACGGGTACATGGATGGACATGGCGTGTGGGTAGGCCAACGGATGTCCACACGGGGTGTGTGTGGACAAATGGATGGACAGACACGGACACACAGACACAGAGACACGTGGTGAGTGGGACAGTCACTGACGACCAAGGGACAGACTTAAAAACATTAATTATGACTATTTACTACGACTAAACAGTGTTGTGTGCTTTTTATATTTTACCAGGTAAGGCCGGCTGAGCTGTATCGCTCTTTTTCGGAAGGACAATTGTTTTTTTTTTATAGCAGCCCAAATACTCTGAACGCGTGACGTTGACTCTAAATGTGGAGGGAAACCAAATCCACGCGAACACCGGGGGAGAGAGAGAGAGAGACACACAGACTCCAAATATACAGCAGGCGTCAGGGTCGGGATCGAACCCACGACCTCCTGCATAGCAGGTGAGGTAGTTGACATCTCCTCGCCACCGTGGTGATGATGATGATGGAACACACGACCTCCTGCATACCAGGCGAGGTAGTTAACATCTCCTAGCCACCGTGGTGATGATGAGGATGGTGGAACACACGACCTCCTGCATACCAGGCGAGGTAGTTAACATCTCCTGGACACCGTGGGTTCCACAGATCGATGCGCTAACCGCTGCGCCACCACTCTCTCTCGGCAACAGCGGCAGCGGTGGCAGCCTGGCGCGTGACATTCGAATTGTTGGCTGATGGGCGGCGGGCGGCGTTTCGTGAAATCCCCCAGTAATTCCACGTTTTTGCTGTAATTGATATAATGGCACGGTGGCGACTCGCTTGTTTTTCCCGAACAAAAAAATGTGTTGGGTGGGGGTGGTGGTGGTGGGTAGTGGTGGGGGGTGGTGGGGGTGGGTGGTGGTGGGTGGTGGTGGGTAGTGGTGGTGGTGAGTAGTGGTGGGGGGTGGTGGGGGTGGGTGGTGGGTGTATGGGTGGTGGTGGTGGTGGTGGGTGGTGGTGGTGGGTGGTGGTGGTGGGTGGTGGTGGTGGTGGTGGGTGGTGGTGGTGGTGGGTGGTGGGTATATGGAGGTGGTGGTGGGTGGCGGTGGTGGATGGGGGGTGGTGGTGGTGGGTGGTGGTTGGTGGTGGTTGTTGGTGGTGGTTGGTGGTGGTGGGTGGTGGTGGTGGTGGGTATATGGGGGTGGTGGTGGGTGGCGGTGGTGGATGGGGGGTGGTGGTGGTGGGTGGTGGTGGTGGTGGTGGGTGGTGGTGGTGGTGGGTATATGGGGGTGGTGGTGGGTGGCGGTGGTGGATGGGGGGTGGTGGTGGGTGAATGGGGAGTGATGGGTGGATGGTGGGTGGTGGTTGGTGGTGGGTGAATGGGGAGTGGTGGGTGGATGGTGGTGGGTGGTGGATGAATGGGGGTGGTGGTGGTTGCTGGTGGGTGAATGGGGAGTGGTGGGTGGATGTGGGTGGTGGTGGGGGGAGGGAGGGTCTCCCACACGTTCGTGCGTACCGAGGAGGAGGTGATGGACACCGCCAACGCGAGCGAGCGAGCGAGCGCTTAACCCCACGCGAATTAAAGGATTCCTCGCGACATAATTTGTAAATTCCAGCGCGGAAAGTGATAACATCGGCGGGCCAGTGTGGGGGGTGGTGGGTGTGTGTGTGTGTGTGGGGGGGGTGATGTGTGTGTGTGTGTAGGGGGTGATGTGTGTGTGTGGGTGATGTGTGTGAGTGTGGGGGTGATGTGTGTGTGTGTAGGGGGTGATGTGTGTGTGTGTGGGTGATGTGTGTGAGTGTGGGGGTGATGTGTGTGTGTGTGGGGGGGTGATGTGTGTGTGTGGGGGGGGGGTGTGTGTGTGTGTGGGGGTGGTGTGTGTGTGTGTTATGTGTGTGTGGGGGGGGTGGTGTGTGTGGGGGTGATGTGTGTGTGGGGGGGGGGGGGGGTGTGGTGTGTGTGGTGTGTGTGTGTGATATCTGTGTGTGGTGTGTGTGTGGTGTGTGTGTGGTATGTGTGTGGTGTGTGTGTGTGTGGTATGTGTGTGTGTGGAGTGTGTGGTGTGTGTGTGTGGTATGTGTGTGGTGTGTGGTGTGTGTGTGTGGTGTGTGTATGGGGTGTGTGTGTGGTGTGTGTGGTGTGTGTGTGTGGTGTGTGTGGTGTGGTGTGTGTGTGGTATGTGTGTGGTATGTGTGTGTGTGGTGTGTGTGGTGTGTGCTGTGTGTGTGCGGTGTGTGTGTGGTGTGTGCGGTGTGTGTGTGTGGTGTGTGTGTGTGTGTCTGGTGTGTGTGTGGTGTGTGTGTGATATGCGTGTGTGTGTGTGTGGTGTGTGTGGTATGTGTGTGGTGTGTGTGTGTGGTGTATGTGGTATGTGTGTGGTGTGTGTGTGTGTGGTGTATGTGGTATGTGTGTGTGGGAGGGGACGGCGGTAGGTTCCGGGGGACCCCCCCCCCCCCACCAACTCACTGCTGCTAAGTCTGACACCTTAATGAGGCTGGCTAATGGCAGGCTGCTGCTGCTGCTGCTGCGGTGACGACGGCGCGATACAATGACGGCCCCAGGCAATTTTCTCCCCCCCCCCCCCTTGGATGACCCCCAAAAACAAAGACAAAGATCCCCCGTATAGCCTGCAACAGACTCTAGGACCAAGTGCTGTTTACGAGCGCCTATGAAAGCCGGAACGGCACGCGATGGGGTGGGTGGCCAGCACCACGCCCGGCCGCCTTTGTCTCCCCGGTGGCGATGCTTATTACGCACCGCGCCAGGTACTCATTTGAGGCTGAGTCTACCTAGGGGATGTCCAGGACCGGTTCAGATAATCGTCGCCGATGTTAGCCGTGAGCGGGAATCGAACTCGGGTCGCCGGGTTTGTAGCGCAGCGTAGCGCTAACCACTACACCCACCACTCCCCACTTGGATGACCACAACCAACAACCGCCATTCGCCACTAAGTGGCGGTGACGTCACCACGACGCTTGTGCCAGGCTATGTGCACCTTGAGGCCACGTGAAGTGTCGAACGCCTGCTGGCAGGAGGTCACGGGGCAGACCCAGGTGCCACGGGTCGACTGACCGAGATGACCGAGATGAGTGGCTGATGCACCACCTGTGCCCCCTACTGTGCCAACTTGCTGTGCTTTAGCCACCCGGCGCTCCGCTCGTTGTTGTGAGCGTCGCTCCTCCGCCCTCCGTTGTTGTTGGAGGGCGACTGCCTCCAACTGCCCAGTAGCGTCCTTCACGAGCCTCCTCCACAGAGGCCGATCTTGACACCGCTGGTACCAGTCATCGGCAAGTCCACTCAGCTCCACGTCCTCCTGTACCACATCACTCCATCTCTTCTCTACCGCGCCCGTTTAGACTCCTCGATCCGGCCGAACAAAAGCTGTTTGGGCATGCGGTGGCAGGGCATGCGGGCTACATGACCCCAGCCAACGCAGCCTTGCCTGCCGGAGGAGCTCACCGATGGGACTTTGCCCAGATCCTTCAAGGACCACCACCACACACACACACGCTAATGTACGTACGTGTGTGTGCGTGTGTGTGCGTGTGTGTGCGTGTGTGCGTTCAGCGGGGAGCGGTGATGTCACGGTTAGCGCTACGCCGCGCCACGAACTCGGCGGACCCGAGTTCGATTCCCGCTCAACGCCCAATGCCAGATGACGATTATCTGAACCTGTCCCGGAACCTCCTCTAGGTCGACTCAGCCTGAAAATGAGTACCCGGTGCAGTGTATAAACATCGCCACTGGGGGAGACAAAGGCGACCGGGCGCAGTGTTGGGCTTCATAGGAGCTACTCGCTAACAGCACTTGCCCTAACAGTCTGTTAAGGCTATACGGGGGGAATCTTTGTCTTTGTCTATGTTGAACCCTCGGAATTCTTCGTGACTCCGTTCAAAGTCCTCACCCTCCTGGTCTACAAATCCCGTCGCTGTCTTTCCCCCACCGTGATGATGATGAGAAAGAGGCACGCAAACTCCAAATATACAGCAGGCGTCAGAGTCGGGATCGAACCCACGACCTCATGTACACCAGGCTAGGTAGTTAACATCTCCTCGCCACCGTGATGATGATGAGAGAGAGACACGCAAACTCCAAATATACAGCAGGCGTCAGAGTCGGGATCGAACCCACGACCTCATGTACTACCAGGCGAGGTAGTTAACATATCCGAGCCACCGTGATGATGATGAGAGAGAGAGACACGCAAACTCCCAATATACAGCAGCAGGCGTCAGGGTCGGGATCGAACCCACGACCTCCTGTATACCAGGCGAGGTAGTTAACATCTCCGAGCCACCGTGATGATGATGAGAGAGACACGCAAACTCCACCCATACAGCAGCAGGCGTCAGGGTCGGGATCGAACCCACGACCTCCTGTAGATCAGGCGAGGTAGTTAACATCTCCTAGCCACCGTGATGATGAGAGAGAGAGAGAGACACGCAAACTCCAAATATACAGCAGCAGGCGTCAGGGTCTGGATCGAACCCACGACTTCCTGTACACCATGCGAGGTAGTTAACATCTCCTAGCAACCGTGATGATGATGAGAGAGACAGACAAGCAAACTCCAAACATACATCAGGCGTCGGGGTCGGGATCGAACCCATGCCCCCCTATATACCAGGCGAGGTAGTTAACATCTCCTAGCCACCGTGATGATGAGAGAGAGAGACACGCAAACTCCAAATATACAGCAGCAGGCGTCAGGGTCGTGATCGAACCCACGACCTCCTGTATACCAGGCGAGGTAGTTAGCATCTCCTAGCCACCGTGATGATGAGAGAGAGAGTGACACGCAAACTTCAAATATACAGCAGCAGGCGTCAGGGTCGGGATCGAACCCACGACCTCCTGCATACCAGGCGAGGTAGTTAACATCTCCTAGCCACCGTGATGATGAGAGAGAGAGACACGCAAACTCCAAATATACAGCAGCAGGCGTCAGGGTCGGGATCGAACCCACGACCTCCTGTACACCAGGCGAGGTAGTTAACATCTCCTAGCCACCGTGATGATAATGAGAGAGAGAGACACGCAAACTCCCAATATACAGCAGCAGGCGTCAGGGTCGTGATCGAACCCACGACCTCCTGTATACCAGGCGAGGTAGTTAACACCTCCTAGCCACCGTGGTGATGAGAGAGAGACACGCAAACTCCAAACATACAGCAGGCGTCAGGGTCGGGATCGAACCCACAACCTCCTGTACAACAGGCGAGGTAGTTAACATCTCGTAGCCACCGTGGCGTCTTGGAAGACGTTGGCATGCCCACACTTTACCCCACCACCACCACCACCAACACCACGACACGTGACCTGCCGATCTACTCGACGAGTGTTACCCATTCATACAGCCGTGTCACCAAACACGTGACACGCACGTGTTGACGTCCTTGCCTGTATCGACGGATGGGCAGGTGGCTTGTGCTACTTTTGCAGCAGATTCACAACAAAACTCGCCCTTCCTCTCGCTCCGTGAGCCGCAAGCGTTAACACTGATACCCCACCTAATCCCAAAGGTGCATTAGTCTGGCTCTTCAGAGCCCCCCGGGCGTTAACACTTCCTCCAGAATCCTACCGGTGCCTTAGTCTGCCTCGATGAGCCTCGGGTATTAAGACCTAACCCCTAGGGATCCCAAAAGGATTAGTCCCAATACAATCCCTCACTTGTCACTAAACAGCCACTTGCTATCCGTTCGGGGCTAGCGTGCATGCCTCCTGGTCGTGTACCCACGCGCATACCGCAGTATAACCGTGACCTGAAACAAATATTTTCCCCATCCAGCACACCACATCCAGTATACATGTTGATATGGCTGTAGCTATGAGTCACGTGCCAGCTACTCAAGTCTATCAGCGACCCAGTTATTACTGGAAGGAACCTCCTGGTTACACCAGCCCACAGGGGATTATTGTGTCCGTCGTGCAGGGAGGGGCTGGGTGGGGAGGGAGGGGCTGGGTGAGGAGGGGAGGGTGGGGAGGGGCTGGGTGGGGAGGGTGGGGCTGGGGAGGGAGGGGCTGGGTGGTGAGGGGCTGGGTGGGGAGGGTGGGGAGGGGCTGGGTGGGGAGGGTGGGGCTGGGTGGGGCTGGGTGGGAGGGATGGGGCTGGGTGGGGAGGGGCTGGTCACCCCGTGGTGCCCTTATAAAACTCAACGTTTAACCTACTCACGCCGGCTTGTGCCCGCCCTCACAGTCGGGCATATTTTCGGAATACACCACGCCGCCGTTGACCCTGGCCATTGACCGAGCAACCCAACGTTCCTACCAGCTCCCTCGGCAGTAATGTGTTACATATCCACCCCCAGACCACCACATCCATGGATGTAGCTCATAGCTTGTCAAACCCTTATCAATGCCCTACCTTATGACAGACCGATTGAGATCTCAATGGTCACCCCGTGCCCTTATAAATTGCAACGTTCATCCTACAAAGTCCCATCACAAGGGAAAAAGACAAACAAATTGACATTTTTTTTTACCATACTCTTAGTTCTTTCGGTTAAGTCACGTAGGTAAAAAAATGAAACTAAAATTAATAAAATTAAAACAATAAAAATCACGACGTTTCGGAGGCAACACAAGTCTCCGTCATCAGGTGGGACCGTCACATCAGGGTTTTTTTTCAATAAAAACTGCAGAAGAAACATTAAATAAATGTGGATATCTACATAAAATTATATTATAAACACACTATCCTAAAAATACAGCACCATATTTTAACACTAAAGCAGTCACTGACTCGCAACAACTTGCAATCATAAGCGACAGAGTTAATTTCGGGTAAAATCAATGAAAATGGGGTATGTCGATAGCATAAAATGAGATGTGATAGAGCAAATCTGAGATCAGATTTGGAATCAGCACCCTGAAATTAGTCTAAAACAGCTGCAACAGTCCAGGCCAGAAATAAATGTTATTTTGTTGTTGACCAGTGTAATATTTGCATTGTCTTTGAAACGGATTGGCCTTACAGTTCCCGATGGGCTAGTCCGACTAATCACTCACCAACAACAAGAAACATTTGCACACAACTCAAACTTTATCCTGCGTCTCTGCTAAGAGATGTGTGTGTGTGTGCCTGCATCGTGGGCTCTAATCCACGCACCCTTTCATCATCTCCTCCTCTCTCGGGGTAGCTCCCGAGCGCGGCGAAATCCATTCGTGTGCCTCCCCGCGTCCCTTTCGAGATCTGTTCCTAATCGCCGCTACCGGAGTTAACGTGCCGGTCTAAATACTCGATTTCGAAAAGAAGACAAAATAACGATGAATCGTAATAATAATTATATGTCGTCGGACGAAAAACTCAAAATCGCATCGCAACAAAAATATCTGCCGCTCATTTAAAAAAGAAAAATCTTTCTTATTTTGGCACGGGGGCGATATTCGTCTGTCATTGACTCGCTCGTTCAGGAGGTAGAGCGAGAATCCTGGCGTCGAATTGACGGCTTTTTTGTCGAAACGATTTAACTTGAACTCACTCAGCCAGGAGGAGAGACAGTCGCCCTTCCAAACGCTTGCTCGATCACCCACCCTCCCGATCGCCCACCCACCCGATCACTCACCCTCCCAATCGCCTGCCCGATCACCCACCCACCCGATCACCCACCCACCCGATCACCCTCCCACCTGATCACTCACCCTCCCAATCGCCTGCCCGATCACCCACCCGCCCAATCGCCCGCCCGCCCGCCCGATCACCCTCCCACCCGATCACTCACCCTCCCAATCGCTTGCTCGATCACCCACCCACCCGATCACCCACCCGCCCAATCACCCACCAGCCTGATCACCCACCCACCCGATCACCCACCCACCCGATCACCCACCCTCCCAATCGCCCTCCCAATCGCTTGCTCGATCACCCACCCGCCCTCCTGATCGCCCTCCCAATCCACCACCCACCCTCCCGCCCCTCCCTCCCGCTTACCAGGCCGTCCTCGGCGGCGTCAGGTGACGTGACGGCGTAGTCGTTGCCTTCGGCGTCGAGGCCGTTGATCTCGACGCCCCAGTTGGCGTCGGGCTGCCTGAACCAGTTGTGCACCACGCGCCTGAAGTCGATCTCCTCCCAGCGGCCGCCGCGCGCGTCCACGCTCACGTTGCGCGAGCACATGTGCACGTGGCGCGGGGCGGCGCCCGCCACGGGCTGCAGGCGCGAGATCTTCACGATGACCGACGTGGACTTCTTGGCCGGTCGCAGGTACACCCAGAGGCGCGCCTTGATCACCTGGTTCTGCATGCTCCGCGGAGTGAACTTGAAGAAACAGCACTTGGGACGTCCGTTTGACTGGACCTTCTTGTCGGCTTTGGAGGCAGGGGGGTAGGGGTGGGGGGGGGGTGGCACACGGGCAGACAAAGGGATGGGAGTGTTTTGGTTTATAGTGCGGGAGGAGGAATCTGATGAGCTATGAAGCTCTTTGGGGTCCATCTTCTTGGTTCTTTCGGTAAAGTCACGTGGAAGGGAAATAATACAATAGTAAAAATAAAACATGATAAAATAATTCTCACGACGTTTCGGCCACAACGCAAGCAGCCGTCCTCAGGTGGAGAACAGGTCTGTCGAGAAGACAGACAGACAGACTCTGTGTTTTATTTTGTTATTTTATTATTTCTATTCTACGTGACTTTACCGAAAGAACCAAGATGAATCCCTGCAGTCACGAAAGCTTTAAATCGACATTTTATAATGTTGAATTTTTATTATTTTATTATTTCCCTTCTACGTGACTTTACCGAAAGAACCAAGAAGATGCATCCCTGCAGTCACGAAAGCTTTAAATCGAAATTTTATTATATTTTATAATGTTGTATTTTTATTATTTTATTATATCCCTTCTACGTGACTTTACCGAAAGAACCAAGAAGATGAATCCCTGCAGTCACGAAAGCTTTACATCGAAACTCTTTGGGGTCGTCCGTAAATGACGTCACGCGATTTTGGACGATTTTTTCACACCCCCCACCTCCCTCCCCTTTCGTCACACGACGTCACAAAGAGTCAGATCCCCCCCCCCCTCAAATATGACGTCACAAAGCTCTGCCCCCCCCCCCCCCCCCCCACCAAAAAAACATGCTTCAAATCGCTTGAAACTAAAACACTGGTCAACAAAAAAAAAATTCTGGCCTGGACTTTTGCAGCTGTTTTAGACTAATTTCAGGGTGCTGATTCCAAATCTGATCTCAGAGTTGCTCTATCACATCTCATTTTTATGCTATCGGCATACCCCATTTTCATTGATTTTACCCGAAATTAGCTCTGTCACTTATGAGTGCAAGTTGTTGCGAGTCAGTGACTGCTTTAGTGTTACAATATGGTGCTGTATTTTTAGGATAGTGTGTTTGCAATATCATTTTATGTAGATATACACATTTATTTAATATTTTTCTTCTGCAGTTTTTCTTGAAAATGCTATATTTGATATCTCAAAAATCTGATGTGATAGACAAAACTGATGCCAGATTTGGAATCAGCACCCCAAAATTACCTTAAAACTCGTTGGAATACCTTATGCCAGAAAAAGTGTGTTAACCAGTGTTACCATTGTAGTGCGCATTTAATGTGGCGCTGCATTCTAATGTTGTAGGAGAAAACATTTATTTAAAAAGTCTATTTAATTAAGTAGAACGTGTTGACTATATTTATTTAAAGTTGTGCATTTTACGTGACATCACATTTCTCAAACACACCCCACCCCCTCGTCACACATCGTCACAAATGTCTGACCCCGCCCCCTCAATCCCCTAGGTGCGTGACGTCATTTATGGACGGCACCCTTTTGTCACAGATGTCCCAGTCAGGGGCCACGGGGTGAGAACGTTACAACGAAGTATAAAGAAAATAAACAAATCACCCACACACGTACAAATACAACACTAACCATCCCCATCATCTTCTTGGTTCTGTCGGTAAAGTCACGTAGAATGGAAATAATAAAATAATAAAATAAAACATAATAAAATAATTCTCACGACGTTTCGGCCACAACGCAAGCAGCCGTCCTCAGGTGAAGACTAGGTCAGACGCTGTCTTTCCGACAGACCTGGTCTTCACCTGAAGACGGCTGCTTGCGTTGCGGCCGAAACGTCGTGAGAATTATTTTATTATGTTTTATTAAATTATTTTATTATTCCCATTCTACGTGACTTTACCGAAAGAACCAAGAAGATGAATCCCTGCAGTCACGAAAGCTTTAAATCGAAATTTTATTATATTTTATTATGTTGTATTTTTATTATTTTATTATTTCCCTTCTACGTGACTTTACCGAAAGAACCAAAAAGATGAATCCCTGCAGTCACGAAAGCTTTAAATCGAAATTTTATTATATTTTATTATGTTGTATTTTTTTTATTTTATTATTTTCCTTCTACGTGACTTTACCGAAAGAACCAAGAAGATGAATCCCTGCAGTCACGAAAGCTTTAAATCGAAATTTTATCATATTTTATAATGTTGTATTTTTATTATTTTATTATTTCCCTTCTACGTGACTTTACCGAAATAACCAAAAAGATGAATCCCTGCAGTCACGAAAGCTTTAAATCGAAATTTTATTATATTTTATTATGTTGTATTTTTATTATTTTATTATATCCCTTCTACGTGACTTTACCGAAAGAACCAAGAAGATGAATCCCTGCAGTCACGAAAGCTTTAAATCGAAATTTTATTATATTTTATTATGTTGTATTTTTTTTATTTTATTATATCCCTTCTACGTGACTTTACCGAAAGAACCAAAAAGATGAATCCCTGCAGTCACGAAAGCTTTAAATCGAAATTTTATTATATTTTATTATGTTGTATTTTTTTTATTTTATTATTTTCCTTCTACGTGACTTTACCGAAAGAACCAAGAAGATGAATCCCTGCAGTCACGAAAGCTTTAAATCGAAATTTTATCATATTTTATAATGTTGTATTTTTATTATTTTATTATTTCCCTTCTACGTGACTTTACCGAAAGAACCAAGAAGATGAATCCCTGCAGTCACGAAAGCTTTAAATCGAAATTTTATTATATTTTATAATGTTGTATTTTTATTATTTTATTATATCCCTTCTACGTGACTTTACCGAAAGAACCAAGAAGATGAATCCCTGCAGTCACGAAAGCTTTAAATCGAAAAATCTCTCGGTATAGTTTCGGTTTCGGTCAAAAGTCCATTTTTTTATTTCGGTTTCGGCCGAAACCAGAAATTCAGTATCGGTTCAGCCTATTCTCCCTGGCCCATGCTTCCTCCATCCCTAGGCACCCCCGCCCCTACAGTAATTCATGTAGCCACTAACCCCCCCCCCCCCCCAATCCCTATTCACCACGCCACCTTTTAGCTACCCTCACTCTACCACTCATAACCCTCGCAAAGCGCCTTGGATCAAGGCGAAGTACAACTTACTTTGTTTCATCAAACCCGACGTCTTTATTAACGAAACAACAACAATAATATATCATTGGACCTCCTTTGCCAGTACCAAAATATGATAATAGGGGTTTCCCCCTGTTTTCTGGCAACACAACTGAAACCTTTTTACGAGGATTCACGTCTGCATTAACCACAATACTTGCAGTCAAATGCAAACAAAAAACACACTATGATAATATATGCACTGTCCCTGTACGCCTTTTGGCGTCCTCTGGTCGAGCACCGATTGGGTCGAGGCTCTCAAAAGAAAGAAGTCCCTTGCTGTGGATCAATCAGTTTCAAGGACAATGGCAATATATTATCATAGTGTTTTTTTTGTTTGCATTTGACTGCAAGCATTGTGGTTAATGCAGACATGAATCCTCGTAAAAAGATTTCAGTTTTGTTGCCAGAAAAAAGGGGAAAACAACAACAATGTAACGATTTAGAACCCTTGTGGGTGCAAGGCTGCAATAAAAGGTCTTACTACTCGAGATGATCTAAAAGTTCCCCGTCGCTGCGCCGGTACCCTCCAAGTGAAAGCGCCGTTTGTCGAAATCGGCAATGCTCGTGGTGGGCGAGTGGGTGGGGGTGTGGGGGTGGGAATCTAAGCGGGCTGCCCCGTGATGAAGCCGGCTTCGCCAGGTGATCTCGCGTAAAGCTCCCGCCGGCCGAAGGTTCACCACTCGCCGTTGATTTTCGTCGGGACGGATCGCCGCCGCCGCCGCGCTCGCGCGAGAGTTACTAAGCCGACGTTGTGTGTCGTGCATCCTCCTCCCCCTCCACCACACGGCGCGGCCGAATAGATAAAGTTGTCACGTGGTGAGCAACCCCGTCCGAGTTGTTTCTGCTTCGGCGAAGCGACAACCCCGGTGCGTTGCTGGAGAGCGTTATCACAAGCTAGGAGATGTTAACTACCTCGCCTGGTATGCAGGAGGTCGTGGATTCCATCCAGACCCTGACGCCTGCGTATGTTTGGAGTTTGCGTGTCTCTCTGTGTCATCATCACGGTGGCTAGGAGATGTTAACTACCTCGCCTGGTGTACAGGAGGTCGTGAGTTCGATCCCGACCCTGACGCCTGCTGCTGTATATTTGGAGTTTGCGTGTCTCTCTCTCTCATCATCATCATCACGGTGGCTAGGAGATGTTAACTCCCTCGCCTGGTATACAGCAGGTCGTGGGTTCGATCCCGACCCTGACGATGCCTGCTGTTGTATATTTGGAGTTTGCGTGTCTCTCTCTCTCATTATCATCACGGTGGCTAGGAGATGTTAACTACCTCGCCTGGTATACAGGAGGGCATGAGTTCGATCCCGAACCTGACGCCTGCTGCTGTATATTTGGAGTTTGCGTGTCTCTCTCTCATCATCACGGTGGCTAGGAGATGATAACTACCTCGCCTGGTATACAGGAGGGCATGAGTTCGATCCCGAACCTGACGCCTGCTGCTGTATATTTGGAGTTTGCGTGTCTCTCTCTCATCATCATCACGGTGGCTAGGAGATGATAACTACCTCGCCTGGTATACAACAGGTCGTGGGTTCGATACCGACTGCTGACGCCTGCTGTATATTTTGAGTTTGCATGTCTCTCTGTCTCTCTCATCATCACGGTGGCTAGGAGATGTTAACTACCTCGCCTGGTATACAACAGGTCGTGGGTTCGATACCGACTGCTGACGCCTGCTGTATATTTTGAGTTTGCATGTCTCTCTGTCTCTCTCATCATCACGGTGGCTAGGAGATGTTAACTACCTCGCCTGGTATACAACAGGTCGTGGGTTCGATACCGACCCTGACGCCTGCTGCTGTATATTTGGAGTTTGCCTGTCCGTCCCACTCCCTGTGGTCGCGTGGATTTTTCTCCGGGATCTCCGCTTTTCCCTCCACATTTCGGATCG